CTCTGCAAGGATGCGCTGCACCTGGATTCCTGTGGCACCTACCGGACTCCGCCCCTGAAGCAGTTTTCACAGCCAGGGAAGCGCAATTGCCCCGCCTGGACACGGTCCTCCCCGAGAGGTACCGCCTGTTTACTCAGGCCCTTGGAACACCCCTCCCGCATCGTGTGGGCGCGGGGACAGTGTGCGCAGCCCAGAGAGGCCGGCGGGCCTGGGGACGCAGCCTTGGGGCCTGGAGCTTGTGGACCCGCAGGCCCCGCCACGGCGCCGGGCCGGGCAGGAGCACCTCCCCGGGGAGCACGACCCCTGTCTTCTGTGAGTCCCTCGGCCCGGCTGCTGAGCTGGGGCCCCGACAGCAGCCACTGTGCTGCGGTTCTCGCGCATCAGGAGAGGTCCCTGCAGCCGCGAGCCGGCGGGGAGCCCACAGCACCCCCACACTCCTGCCCTTGGCCTCTCTGCAGCGGCAGCTGCCCCCAGCCCGGGGGTGAGGAGCGTGCAGGTTCCCGGCAGCTCCGGACCTGGCGGCGCAGGGTGCACCCGGACCACAGAGGCCAGAGGAGGGCGGCGCCCGCACCCTGCCCCCTGCGCCCACTTTCCTCGCGGCCCACACCCGCCGCAGGGGCCGCCCCCACCGCCCCCCTCAGCCCCAGGGCTCCTCCCAGAGACAGCTTCTGGCTGTTTCGCTTTGTTCAAAAATGGCCACAACAGCACGTGCTCCCATATCCTCTGGGCTCTGGGGGGGCCCTTTTAAGCCCAGGACCACGCTGACCTGACCCAGAGCCCCCACGGGCTCCCGAGGTTTCCACCTGCGGGCCTCTGGCTCTGTCAGTCCCGGGGCCCCGCCCCGTGCATCCCTCCCCCACGGTCCTCCCCCCCTCTCCTCCCCTCCGCGGTCCTCTCTGATGTGGGGGGGGCGGCGGGGGCTGGCTTCCGCCCTCAACGCTGCTCTGGGTTCCCGCGTCTGCTCCCCTCTTCCCAAGCCGGAGCCTGGGCAAATGCTGCCCTGCTCAGCTCGCCGCCTGGCCCTGCCATCCCCTGGCTGAGCCTCAGCCTGTCGCACACCGGGGCGGGGGGGATCTGACCCATCAGGGCATCCTGGCCCAGGAGGGCAGCGTCTCAGCAAGTGGGGACGTTGGCTGAGCGCTGATGGGGGCCGTTCCCATTCCAGGATGGACTAAGGGGGCTCCAGGGAGCCTCGGGCCGGAGCCAGGCCCCTGGGGCCCTGAGAGGGACGGCAGCAAGGCCTCTAGAGAGATGGGAGCAGGAGGGGTCCCTGAGGCCCAGACCTTGTGCCCAGGCCCCACGCGTGCGTGGGTCGCCCCCGTTCCTCAGCCTGGCCAGTGCCAGACGCTGGGCCAGGGCGGTGAGCCAGCCAGCCAGCCGGAGAGGAGGGGCATCCAGGCGGCGTCCAGGCGGCATCCGGGAGGGAGCCCTGAGCGCCGGGGTCTCAGGAGGGCTCGCAGCGGCGGGCACACAGCCTCGGAGTGGACAGTCGCTGGGGCGCCGGGCCTCACAGGGGCGGAACCACTGCCGCCGCCGCCTACCTCCTCCTCCTGGGCTCCCGTGAGAGCACAGGCCCCTGAGGGCCGTGGGGCTGGGGCTGGGCGCCCGGGAGAGGTGGTGCGGGGCCCAGGGGGAGGTCCGCCGCCCCCGCTCAGGGAGTCTGGGGGGTGAGAGCGCGCATCAGGAGTCACCAGGGCTGGCCCCACGCCGCCCGCCTGGTCACCAGGCTCCCCGCGCCTCGGGTGCCTCCCGGGGTGGACTGGCCCCTGTGCGGCTGTAAGGACTTCGCACAAAAGGGGCGATGCCACACAGCACACGCTCCCCGCGAGGTTCTGGAGGCGAGATGTGCAGGTGGTTTCCTTGGGCTACAGTCACGGCGGCGGGTTGGCACAGCCCAGGCCTGGTTTCCAGACGCTTCCCGCAGGGCCTGCGGCAGGTGCAGGTGTCTGCAACCCCTCTCCTTTGGGGAGGCTCACGATCACCCGGGGTCTGTCCGCCTGAGGACCATGTGTCCCCACCTCTGGGGCAGGTGTTAAGTCAGGTGAGCACCCGGGCGTGTTCCCAGGCCCCCGAGGGCTGGGGCGCAGGTATGGGCCTGGACAAGACGGCAGGGGCCGCAAGGATGGAGGGTTGCTCAGCCCCAGGGGGCTCCTGCTCTGCTTTCAGGCTCGGGAGGTTTGGCGGGTGTGGCAGTGAGCTGGCCTGGCAGACAGACGGCAGACAGGACAGACGGGCCGGGGCCACCCCTCCGTCCACCTCCAGGTGGACGTCCCGTCCCTCCTGCCCCCTCTGGCCAGAGGTTGGGTAAAGTGCCACTTGTGTTTGCAGCAATTTTGCACCAAGTTGAGAAGGAACAAGTCAGGCTCCAGCTCGAATGCCCCCGGGGAGGGGAGTGGCCCGGCCTCGCAGGGTGAATGGGGGCTGCCGGTGGTTTCCAACAGGACCTTCCTGGGACATTAGGGTCTGGGGAGCGCGGCTTTGGAGGAGTCCTATAGTGAGACCCCAGGGCCAGCTGCAGGCCGTGGTCCCACTGGGTGAGAACTGCTGATTGCCACTGGCCCCCACGTATAGGGGAAAGTCTGCCCCAGTCTTTCCATCGAGGACCGGGACATGCGTCCTGATATCCAAGAGGAACAGTCGGTTTCTTCAGTAAAGAGATGTCACCTTGACCCCATGGCACCGGCTAGCTTGGGCTTCACATGACCCCACATCCATGGCACCAAACACTCCCCTCCACCAAGATTTTTGAGGAGAAACGGCATTTCTACCTTAGTCCTGTCCATAAACTTGGCCATAGGAGTCCTACAAAATGAATCCGTTCTTAGCATCAGTCATTACACTGATTCCCCCAAGGGAGCCCCGAGCAGGACTTCCAGACGGCCCAGCTCTGTAATTGAAGGCGAAGGATGTGCTCACTCCCTGCGGAGGCAGCCCAGACGGAGGCACCGGACACTGGAAGGAAAAGCGGGCCTTTGGGTGACCTTGTGTCCCCGCACAGCTCAGAGCAGGTGGTGGGTTGTGGTGGGGACCGGTGCCGTCGGAAGGTGGGGTGATGGGGCCAGTGTTTCCCGGGGCGCACCTGGGATGGGGGCCAGTGGCCTCGGCATCCAGCAGCCTCGGGCTGCGGCCGTCTCCTGTTCACACAGCCTGCCTGGCCTGCTCCTGCGCGGGGTGGGGGCGCCAGGTGACCACAGTCAGCTTTCTCTCTTCTGGCGGCCAGAGACGCCGTCTAGTCTTTCTTCACACACGAGACGTGAGTCGTGCAGGCTGCTGCTGCGTCTGGCTCCGAGACCCCGTCCGACCACAGCACACGCCCCCGTCACCCACCCAGACGCCACCTTCGGGGTGTCCTGACAGACACGGGGCAGGCTAGGGCAGCTCGCTGTCACCCTCATTAAAATTCTTCTTCAAGCACTTCTGTGAGTGGCGGCTGAAGGTAAACTACCGGGAGACGGTCCATCAAAGACGGTGCTTTAAGGATCCATCTTCATGGACCGGGAACATCTTTACTACCTTAGGGAGGGGCAGCCCGCCTGGGGTGGGGAGAGCGGTGCCCTCGCCACGCTGGCCGCCAGCCCCCACCCACCGGGGCCCCTTCTGCATCTGCCGGGGGAGAGCTCTCTAATTGAATTTCTCTGGCTGAGCCAGACAGTTAACCGGCCCCCAAGCTGGATTTCGTTAAAGCAACTTTGGTTTTTCAAGAATAAACATGCACTGATCCAGGTTGTGCTTCCCGTGTCTGTCGTGACCCGCAGACGGTCTCCGGATCTGTTCTCAAACTTCGGGCAGAGGCCGCCGGCAGCCTGCAGCAACCCGCTGAGGGTTTTAATCCACAAACTGCCCAGTTTTGGAAAGAATGTGAGTAAGTGCGGGTGTCCCAGGGCCTCCCCTCCCACCCGCACCTGGTCCGTGTGTTCCCCAAGAGCAGCCCTGGCCAGCGTCGGCTCAGGCCCTCCCCCCTGGACCCTTCCCGAGTCCCTGGTCCCTGGTCCCTGGTCCCTGGTCCAAGTCCTGGGCCCATTGGGGCGAGTGGTGCGGCGCGGGAGGGGCTGACGGCAAGCACCCCTCACCTAGCGCTCTTGGCCACCAGCGGCCGAGGGGCCTGAGGGCCAAGCCCTGCCACCCTAGAGCAGCGAAGAGGTCGCCCCCCTGCCACCTGCCCAGGGGCCTTGGCTGCGCCCTCTGGCCGCTCCCAGGGCCGGTGTGGGCAGTGCTGGGTGCCTGAAGGGCCACCAGGGCCCAAGGCGACCTCGGGAGGACGGAAGCGGAGCCGCCAGGCCCGGCGCTGGGCGGTCACCCGCAGCCCTGGGTTGGGGGACCGCCCGAACCTGAGCGGCGCGAAGGGCTGGCTCCGGGCAGGGAAGCTGGGCCACTCCGTGGGACCCTGGGCGCCCTGGGCAGCTCGGCAGCTTGTGGCAGGAGGTGCGGCCTGGCCAAGGGCTCTGGGAGAGGCAGGCTGCGAGGACAGGGGCGCGGGGAGCAGGGCCCCAGGTGGCAGACTCCCTCCCCCCTCCCCCCTCCAGGTCCGAAGCCAATGGGCGCCCAGGCTCCCGCAGCGACGGGATGGCACCGCCCCGGGATGGCACCGCCCCGCCCGCCCCAGGCTGCGAGTTCCGAGTTCCAGCAGCGCAGGGACCCGCTGGGCTTGGGGAGGGGAGGCCGGGGCGGCGGAGCCCTGGGCTGGGCTCCCCGGCGGCCGCTCATCCTCCCCACGCAAGCACCGCGTGGCCCGTCCCGTCCCCGTCTTGCAGGCCCAGGGCGGCAGCAGCGGGCGGCACACAGCGAGGTGGCGGCCCTGCAGGTGCCAGGTCTCCGCGCCGGGCCACCGGCCACGTGTATTACCTGGTGGGGGGGGCGGGGGCGGCCGGGCTGCTGGCTTCCCACTGGGCGCCAGGTGGGTGTCGGCCCCACCTGTTCTGTGTTTCAGGTTTCATGTTCCTGCTGTTAGTACATGTTCTGATGCCTCAAGCCTACCTGCAGGGTCTTACAGATAAAACACGTTACTTTTAAAGATTTTATTTGTTCATTCATGAGAGACACAGAGAAAGGTGGAGACACAGGCAGAGGGAGAAGCAGGTTCCCTGCAGGGGCCCGACGTGCGGCTCCATCCCGGGACCAGGGTCATGCCCTGGGCTGAAGGTGGCGCTAAACCGCCGAGCCCCCCGACACCCCTTAAAGTGAGTTTTTAAAACCATGTCCCTACCACACTTCTCTGGAGAGCAGGGAGCAGTCTCCTTCAGTGTCCTCGAAAGGGGCCAGCATAGAGCTTCTCACCTTGTGCAGAGCAGGCGGGCAGGTGTTCTGAGGCCGCTCTGGGGTGCGACTCCCGCGTCCCTTCCTCCCGCAAGCAGGAGACTCAGAACTGGCTGTGGTTTGGGGTCCCAGGAGGAGACTGAGGCGGGAACCAGGAGGGGAAACAGTCTGGCGCCAGGACTGCTACGTGAACTCACTATGACTTTCACTGACTAGGTTTGTTACCGTCCGGACCAAATGCAAACGTTCAGGCTTGTTTTGGGGATTTCCCCGCATGTGCACTTCGTGGAGCGCGTGGGTGAAGTGCTGAGACTGGGGGGCGTGTGGCCCGCGGGCGCCCAGGCCGTGGGTGAACCGCCTGCCCAGCTGGGGGCTGCGGCCAGGCCTGGTGGCTCCTGCGGCTGCGGCTTTGCCACAGGCCACATTAACTGGGGCGGGAGTCAGGACGGGCAGCGACTGCCTGTGTCCCCAGCTCTGTCTGCGGGCGTCCGGCGGCGGCATAGCCCACAGGGTCTGCTTTCCGGGCTCACTGCAGCCTGGGCGCAGGCAGCTGAGGCTTGCAGGGCCCAGACCACAGGGTGCGGGTCTCCAAGCCCTTCCCTCCCTACAGGACTGCACGGGGGTGGCCCGGAGGAGGGGACGGACCCATTTTTAGCAGCAGGAGGCTCCCCCAAGTCACGATGATGCCTGAACTTGCTATCAGTAGCCACGGTTCTCCCTAGGTTCCTGGAAAGAGGAGACTTGATGATGGATTTTAAAGGGACCCCACCCCAGCTCCTGAAGTGCAAGCTGCAGAGAGTGACTGTGCGGTGACCAGGGAGGGCAGGGACGCCCCTTGCCCTTTGACCTTCCTGGTGCTGACAGGAGCTCCTGCAGGATTTCCAAGGGCAGAGGTGGCGGCTGGCGGCCACCGTGCAGGGCCACACCCCCAGTCCTGAGCCTCCTGGTCAGCCGGCACTGCTCTTCCTGGCAAACCCAAGCTCCCTGAAAGTCAGGACCAAATTTCATGGATGCACAAGGCTCACTTTGCAAATAGTTTGAGGATCATCGTGGTCACTTAGGGTAATCCAAGGCATAGGAGACAGTGAAACCAAGGCAGGAGGAAGACCACCATCCCCTGCCCACTGCCCGGCGTCTGCACTCACCTCCGCGGTCTCCATGCCATGGAGCCGGGGTCTATGCGGAGCCCCGCACACGGTCCCTACGGTCCTGGGCAGCCTGGAGCTGGCGGAGGAACGTGCCGAGTCAAGGTCAGGGTTTCTCCACCGTCCCCACCCAACACCTATGGGTGCCCCCGCGGATCTGGTCGCTGGCCCGTTCATCTGACCCGGGGTGTGGTGCGCCCCCCACCCCAGAGCAAGGGACCTGGGAAGGCCCACCAGCCCGGTGCCCTTGTCGCTTGTCCAGACCAAGCCTTTCCGCTGCTGTGGAGAGGGCTGCTGTCCCTGGCAGGGGGCTTCCCTCTGGAGACTTCTGCTGTCTGTTCCCCTTCTCTCGGGGGTCCCGGGTTCCTGCGTGTCCTGGGCCAGATCCCCAAGCTGTGTGGACCTGCTGGCCCAGGGGCCCAGTTCCAGTCGGGCTCATTCACTCTGGTCCCTGGGCAGTCTCGGGGCACGGTCAGCGCTCAGGGCTCCTGCTGGTCACCGCACCGGCCACAGGCGCCCCTGCAACAGCCCAGCCTGCTCGGGGGCTGCGGGAGCTGCTCCTGGCCCATCCCCGGGGGGGGGGGGGTCCCCCGGCCACAGGTCCCGAGTCTGTGGGTCCTCAGAGGGTGGACCGGTCAGTTCCGTTTTAGTGTTTCTCAGGGAGGGACTCCCACAGTCTGACCGTAGATCCCGACGATCACAGAGAAGCTGTTGTCTAGGAGGCACAGGGACTTCTGGGTCCTTCCTAAGCTGGGCAGCGGGGTGGCATCTACTGGTTCCGCCAGGACAGGCGACTCTACACGTGCTTTTGTACCCATGAGACGTTTCATGACAAGAAAACGCTGCTCTCCGCCGGGGACGATGACTGCTGAATACCACCACCGTCTCTGCGGCACCGGGAAAGCAGGCAGCTGACCGTCCAGGGCCAGGCGCGCTCCCTGGGGCTCCCCTGCGCCGGGACCTCCGCGGCCTCCAACCCGCAGCTCCCAGGCAGTATCTCTGAGCAGACGGGCTGCGCTGTTCTTCCGGCGTGGTGATTCAGACGTCTCCGGGGCGCCTGCGGTTCTGGGGCTTTGGTTTTGACTTTTACAGAAGTGTCTCCGCTTAGACAGACAGGTGTTGCTTCTGCTGTCCTGTATGATCTTAAAAAAAAAGATTTTATTTGTTTATTCATGAGAGACAGAGAGAGAGAGCGGCAGAGACCCAGGCACAGGGAGAAGCAGCTCCATGTGGGGAGCCTGACGCGGGACTCGATCCCGGGACCCCCCAGGATCAGGCCCTGAGCCGAAGGCAGACGCTCACCCGCTGAGCCCCAGCTGTCCCTCCACACTCAGTGCAGAGTCTACTTAAGACTCTGTCTCTGCTCTTCCCCTCCTGCCACTCTCTCTCTCTCAAAATAAATAAATCTTTTTTTTTTTTTAACGTCACTATGAACTCAAAGGTTTGAGTATATTTTGATGTTTCATTCAGTCACTCAGGCATCCCAGTTGTGACTCTCAACGATGCTCAGCAGTCACGTCTCTGACAGTGGGGCCCCGTTAAGTTGGCTCCTGAGTCCAACCTCAGAATTCTGTAACTTCCTTGACTTCCAAAACTGAATCCAGGCTCTTTAGTAAATCTGATTTAACCGTACGTATGTGTTGGAATATACGGAATATCCGTAACGAGTGAATCAGAATGCTTCTAAGTCAAATTCAGGACAAGGTTTCTAGTAACTTCATTGATTCTAAATCCAAATCTTCTTGTTACCGTACCAGAAAATGTCACTTCTCAACACGATGTGGGACATTTCGGCTGCTTTCAGTTTTTGGTCATTAAACATTTTACTGAATAAAATTCTTGCCAGTGTGTGTTCAGGATCTATCCTTAGAAGCACCTTGCTGGGGACGCCTGGGTGGCTCAGTGGTTGAGCGTCTGCTGTCAGCCCAGGGCATGAACCTAGGTCCCGGGATCAAGTCCTGCATCGGGCTCCCTGCATGGAGCCTGCTTCTCCCTCTGCCTGTGTCTCTCCCTCTTTCTGTCTCATGAATTAAAAAAAAAATCTTAAAAAAAAAAAAAAAAGCAGCAGCAAAGGTCAAAGGGTAAAAGCAAGAACAACTGTTGGATACCACCGAGCGCTGTTCTCGGTCGGGGCTGCAGCTCAGCATCCCCAGCCCGTCTCCACACAGACCTCGTAAACAGTGCAGCCAAATTGGAAGTGTAAGAAGAGGCCTCGGGGGTATTTTTATTTCTAGCTGTCTTGCTGTGAGTGAAACGAGGGAGTCTGCTTCTCTCCCTGTCCTGTTCTGCTTTGGTTGAGGGTCATGCAGAGGCGACACAGAAAAGGCATCTGTAGGAAAAGTGAACTGGACCAAGAACCCCTACCCAACGACCCAAGGCTGGGAGCGCCCCTGGTCACAAGGCGGAGCAGATACTAATTTTTGCTGGAAGAATTCAGACACGTCAGAGAAGTTCCAGAGGTAAAGTTCCAAAAAAGAGGGATCCCTGGGTGGCGCAGCGGTTTGGCGCCTGCCTTTGGCCCAGGGCACGATCCTGGAGACCGGGATTGAATCCCACGTTGGGTTCCCAGTGCATGGAGCCTGCTTCTCCCTCTGCCTGTGTCTCTGCGTCTCTCTCTCTCTCTCTGTGTGGCTATCATAAAAAAAAAAAAAAAAAAAAAAGTTCCAAAAAAGATAAACTCACAGCCCCAAATGACAAAGTTGGCCAGGAAACGAGGCACTGTGAGTCAGCAGAGGAATGGACAAAGAATCAGACCCACAGAACCTTCAGACATTAACATGATTGATCAAATAACATAAAATTAGCTTAATAAGTTCAAAAAATAAAAGAATGAGTTGAAAACATGGTAAACAAAAGCCATAAAAGACAAATAAATTAGAAAACACAGAACTAACAGAATTGAAAATGATAATTATCGGGCAGCCCCGGTGGCTCAGCGGTTTAGTGCTGTCTTCAGCCCAGGGCATGATCCTGGAGACCCGGGATCGAGTCTCACGTCGGGCTCCCTGCAGGGAGCCTGCTTCTCCCTCTGCCTGTGTCTCTGCCTCTCTCTCTCTCTCTCTCTCTGAATGAATGAATGAATGAATAAATAAATAAATAAATAAATAAATAAATAAAAGAAAAAGAAAATGAGAATTATTGAAATTAAAACCTGAATGCGTTTAACTGCACATCTGATATAACTGATAAGAAAACGAGTGAACTGGAAACTAGATCGGAAGAACTCGTCCAGAATGAGGGAAAGACCGCGAAGGAGTGGAAAGTACGGCAGGGCTGGTGGGAGAGATGACGGAGTGAGGAGGCCTGAGACACGCAAGGCTGGGGTCTGGGAAGGAGGAACAGGACGGGGCGCCCCTGCGGGAGGGGACCCCAGGTACACGGGGCCCCTCCCGTCCAGCGGAGCCGCCTGACACCAAGGACGGAGACAGAGCCCCCGGGAGGACCGGCCACGGGATGACGGCCAAACCCTGAGCAGCAGCCGCGGAGGAAGGACGCCGCGGGGAGGGGGCTGGCGGCCAAGCGCCCAGTCCTGACCAGACTCCTTCAAGCGCAAGAACAGAACGACGCTTCCCGGCAAACAGAATTGAGAACGCTTGTCATCCTGACGGTCACCACGGGAAGTGCTGCGGACGCAGGACGCACGCGGCAGGACGGATTCCACGTGGAGCAGGGAGGCCGGCGGGCGAGCCACGCGGGGTGTGCTGACCATGAGGCACAGACGTCCCTGGGGACGAGCTGCCGTGCACACCTGTGGTCACGCCCAGGGCACTGCGGGCGGAGTCAGGGTGCAGCTGTTGTACCTACGGAGGAAGGAGCAGCGCTCGCTGACCTGGACCCGAACAGGCAGTCACGTGGTGAAGTTTCTGCGATGGGACGCGAGTGCCTGACATCCCAATTGTCAGAATGAGAAAAGGGACCTGCTCCGTCCATAATAAAGCACAAAAAGAAAAAAAGAAAGAAAAGGTGAGCCAAGGGGCACCATGCAGACTCACGGGGCTCTAGGACGCTGAAGAACACCCCCCCCCCAGAGAGCGGGGCTGCCCTGCCAGCGCCCACCGTGTGCTGAGCCCCGCACCCAGGGTAGCGTGGGTGGGCTCTGGATCCCTGAGGATCAGAACGTCAAACGCCTGGTGCAAACCCAAGGGGATAACCCCGTTTCCCAGCAGAAACAGACCTGGGCCAGCCGGGCACCCCTAGGCGCCGCCGGCCTGCCCTCAAGCCCAACGCACCCTGCAAATGAGCCCCCCTCCTTGGCAGCGCCTGCCGTTCTGAGGCTCCCCGGGGGCACACGCGGTTCGGCGGCAGAAACCCTCCACGGGGGACAAGGACAGGCTGAAGCGGCAGCTTGCCTGGCAGGGCGGCAGCGGCCATCCGGCCCTGGGTGGACAGGCCGCCTTATGGGGCTGATGAGGGATGAGGATGCTCCACAGGGCGTCGGGGGGGACGGGGAGGGCCAGTCTCCCAGGGGAGGTGGCCGAGGTTGGGCCGGCGTCTCCACGTGAGCAGCCTCCTCTACGCGGTTCTTCCCCAGAGCCCAGGAGGGTGGCCTGGGGCCCGCTGCCCCACTGCTGCCCCCGCCCCCTGCCAAGTGCCACATGAGGGCTCTGTGGACGCTCCAGGGCCTGCACCCGCAACTGCAGTGACCCCCTTCCGAGCTCCGGTGGCGCAGGCACTGCCGTGACCTGCCACCCCGACAGCCCCTCTGCTCTGGTCTGGCTCAGCACCAGCTGCCTCCACTCGAACCCGGAGCCCTTGCGCACACGGTCAGCCCCGAAGCAGGCCGGGCGTGGGCCGACAGGATGGGCCCTGCACACAGGCTGTGCCGCTGGGTCCCTGCTCCGCCCGCCGGGCCCCGAGAGCCTGGCCCTACCACGACAGTGCTGGGCCGCTGACTCTGCTCCCGCGCTGCCTCCAGGGCCTGAGGTGCGCACTGCCCTGCCCCGGCCGCACAGGGACCGGCGCCCCCCCATCCCTCGCTGCGACACCCCTCGTCTGCCCTGTCACCAGCGTCCTTGGAGGAGCCGCCCCTGGCTGCCAACTGCCCACCTGAGGCACGCACGAGCTGGTCTGGTCCTCCCGGACCCCGTCCACTCTGATCGCCGACGGGCGAAGGGGCGGCCCAGGAACCCCCCACGAGCCCTGAGCATCGGCGACTCAGCCCTGCGTCCCGTCCTCAGCCCCCGGGGGCTTTGAGGCTTCGGACATCTTCCTGAGAACTGAGCGCAGAGACCAGACTGGCCTTAGGGACCTGCCACTCCTTTCTCTACCTGGTCCAATGAGGCAGAAGAGACCACCGGACACTGTGAGTGACAAATATTTACGTATTTGCAAAGCGCGTCCTCAGGACAGCCCCTGCAGAGGGCGGCGCACGGCTGGTCCCCGCTGCACTCGCCAGAGCACAGCCGGTGGGTCCGTCACTGCTCCCGCAGTCACGCAGTCGTTCGCCGAGGACTGACATCCAGGGTGACAGGGACCGGGGTCTCGGGGCAGCCACGCAGAAGGCGGAGACATCGCACTACTCACACGGTGTCCTGTGGAGGACACCTGCCCCCCTCGGGGTCTGCTTGGAGGCCCGTGGCTTTCTGACCACGTGGTCACTGCTGATTCTTTTTTTTCTTGCTGCTTTTAAATCCTCGCGACGCCCCTTGACCGAAGCAGATGGTAGAAGGTATTCTGAAAAGGAAAATGAGCCTTCGTACTAAACCGTCATGGTTTCTGGCAACAAAAACCCCCACTTGTAAGAGCAGCATCACGCGGGCGTTCTTGCTCCTTCTCTTTCACTTTGTGGGACGTTTGGCACACGGGCTCCCCTTGCCCCAGACGCTCCGTGCCCGAGGCCCCGAGGCAGCTCCCAGCTGGCCAGCGGCCCTGGACCTGCTCCCAAGGGACAGTCCGCCAGCAGCACCCCTGCCTGGGACACTCGGCCAAGACGGCTGCTGCGGCCAAGTTTGCAGGCCCAGGCTTCCTGTGACCCACCATCCGGGAGAAACCCCGACCGCCACGGGCATCCGGGACCCCCGTGCAGGCCAAAGTCTGGGCAACAAAGAGATTTGTTGGCAATCTCTTTCCTCCTGCCTGACATTTTTCCTAAAATTAGACTTGAAACCGAGTTTGACTAATTAAGAGCAAAACCAGTACGAGAGAGACAGGCTTGTGGGTCCTTAGCAACCACAGCCAGTGTTGATCCTGCGTCCCATGATGCAGAGGGGAGCTGGTGCCTCGCCCTCCTGGGCCCCAGAGCGAGCGCGCACGGGAAGGCGAGGCATTCAAGAGAAGCACAGTCAGGCTCTCAGCTCCCGCGGAAGCTGACGCTCCGACCCAACGTCTGCTTCTCCCAGACAGGACGCTGCCCAGGGTCAAGCCGGCATCCTCAGGAAGCTCACCTTCACAACTTGCTGCACCAAGGTGCCAGGTACTAACCTGTGGCTGTAGGTCCGCCGTTCGGCCACGGGCTCTGGGAGGGGGGCCACGTGTTCAGAGCTGACTTCCATGGCGTCCCCTCCCAACTGCTCCCCGTCATCCCCCAGAGCTTCTGCTGACCCCTGTACGGTGGCCCCGGGCGTGGCTGGGCTGCGGAGACAGACGGGTGAGTTGTGGCTCCTGTGACCCTGTCTTTCCTCATGGACGAACTCGCCAGAAAACAATACCTCTTGCAAAAATACTTTATGACTATTCCAGCGTAGTATAACCCCTAGACTATTCAGACGGAAGCCAGGGTTACGACAAAGTCCTAGGAGAACGTTAACAGGCGCTGCATCTGTAAACTTGGCAACGCCTACGCTTTATCTTTTAAAAACAGTATTTCTGGTTTGCCACTGGGTACGTGCCTTCCAAGGGAGCCCAAAGTCTTTGCGACTGTTCGTGAGAAGCCTGCCACCGCCAACTACGGAGTATGGGAGTCCCCTCCCTGACCCTGCTGGACCTAGCGCTGCAGGGCACTTCTCCCCGAAATGATTCCTCCCAGAGGAGAGCGCTGGCTCCCACCCGAAGCCTCTCGCTCTCCCGTGACACAGCGCGCTCTCGGAGTCACTTTAAAGAGCACGGTCCTGCCGAGGGATACCGGCCTGAAAAAACTTCAATCCACAATTCTCAGGAGGTTCTGAAGAATCACTGAAAGAATCACTCAAATGAGGCAAAAAAAAACAAAAAACAAAAAAAAAAAAACAAACAAGACAAATTCAAGAACCACGAGGCATTTCCCCAGGATGCACTCTGAACACTGACGTGTAACAAAGGGCTTTACTGCCAAATTACCAACCAGGCAAAAAATCAGAGGGTCCATGTGTGGGGAGGGCCTGACAGCCTGGGACAAATGCCCAGCGGCTGTGTGAGTGCCCTGCTGGTGGGGCTGGCGCCCCAGAGTGGTGGAGGCGGGCAGGTACAGCCCCGGGGGAGCGCGGAGGAAGGGGCAACGTTCCTAGATGCCCCACCTGACCGGGCGGACAGCGAGGTGAGACCCCAGTCCTTCCCGGCAGAGCAAGACTGTCCCTACTGCTTTAACCCCGCCTGACGAGTCAGTCTGTCGCTCATCTGCAGCTGAACGTGACCCAAGTAACATAGACGCTCAGCGACTGCTCCTGTAGCCCCCCCTTTTTTTAATATTTTATTTATTCGTTCATTCACACACACACAGAGAGAGAGGCAGAGACACAGGCAGAAGAAGAAGCAGGCTCCACGCAGAAAGCTCGACATGGGACTCGATCCCGGGTCTCCAGGATCATGACCTCGACCGAAGGTGGTGCTAAAACCCTGAGCCACCCGGGCTGCCCCCGCTCCCATATCCTTAAAAGCGTCTCCGGTCAAAATGCTTTTCTAAAGTCAAGGGCCACACCCCACAGCCTGGTTCATGTACCGCCCCACGTACCCTTTGCTTTTTTTGGGTTTATCGAATCGGAAGTCGGCAGGGTAGAGGTGACGCCGCACCAGGTGATCCTTCCTGTCTTTGCTGGTCTTGAACTTCTCTGCACAGCCTTCCACCAGGCACTGATACTGAAACAGAAGCAGTGTCACCTGTGTCCTGACCCCCTGGGGCCTCCCAAACCCTCACTGTGCCCC